CTTATTTCTAAAATACGATATAAAAACACATATTTATGATGTCAAAGCTCTCAATTATGGGTCATATTTATTTGGCCATAAACACTGGCTCTCCAAGGGGACAGGGTAAGTCAGAGGTCCAACACTCCTGCCACCTAGAACACAGCATTCCTCTCCTGAGGCATATCTGCCTGCGGGGTTACCTCTCAGGTAACTAGGCCATAGAGCTGAGTCGTGGAATCTTGGTGTGGGCCATCATTCACCTGTACTGATGTGTTTCTAGTACAGAAAGTTGGGCAGAATGAATAGCCCCCTGGATACAATTATTTATCTGACATTTCACTTGATGGAAGTAACTCCAAGTTGGGCTGACAGTAGGTCTATGCTTCAGTGCTTGGTGAAGGCAATGAATGCACTGATGCCTGAGTTCCTCTTGCAGCTGGTGATGCTAGGAAGGTGATGTGTCCATACAAGCCAAGGATTGACATAGGTCCAAGACCACTTGGGCAATCAAATCACCCTGGCCACCAGATGTCACTATTACGTTATCAACGATCCTGTTGCCTAAGACAGACTTTACACGGAGCATTTGGATGAAGTCAGCGAGTCAATAGTCCATTTGCTTTGGGTAGAGGATGAATTTGTAAAATCGGATAAAGATAGTATATAAGCCTGACTGGTTATTCCACCAAATTGTTAGATCTAAAACACTCAATCATAAAAACTTTTAAACAGCCACGTTACCAGCAACTTAACTCACTAATCGTCCACCTATTCTCATCACTTCAAAACCTTTTCACTTTTTTTTTGTATTGGTAGTCTACTCATTTATTAATTTTTATTTTTTAATTTTTATTAGTGAAACACCATGAGGTACAGTTGTACACTTTTTTTTCCAGCTTCAAGTTCATTGACTTACAAATTTTTGTGCTTGGGTTTCAATTATACAATGATCAAGTACCCATCCCTCCACCAGTGCCCATTTTCCACCACCACGGGTCCCAGTATTCCTCCCACCTCCAGCCCCCCCCCCCCCCGCCTCTGTGACAGGGCATTCCCTTTTGTTCTCTCTCTCCTTTTCGGTGCTATGGTTTGCAAAAGAGGCACTGAGTGGCAATCATGTTTGGTCTATAGTCTACTATCAGCATACTTCTCCCATCCTGGGAGGATCCTCCCAACACCCTTTATTTGGTGCACCCTTCTCTATCTGAGCTTCCTTTTCCCCTGGCACGTTTGGCTGGCCTCCAAGTCATAGAGCAAAATTCCTGGTACTAATCTCAGCCACTCCTGGGTGTTAGTCTCCCATTTTGTCACTTTATGTTCCCCAGATGAATGCAATCTGTGTCTATCCCGTTCTTTCTGACTCATTTCGCTTAACATACTTTCCATGTAGTACCACTTGTATGTAAATTTCATGACTTCATCTTTTCTAAAAGCTACATAGTACTCCATTGTGTAAATGTACCAGAGTTTCTTTAACCAGTCATCTGTTCTTGGGCACTCAAGTTTTGTGCAGATTCTGGCTATTGTAAACAGTGCTGCAAAGAACAAACAAATGCAGATGTCACTTCTACTATATATTTTTTGCCTCTCTGGGATATATTCTCAGGAGTGGTATTGCTGGGTCAAATAGGAGCTCAATTTCTAATTTTTTGTGAATCGTCCATACTGTTTTCCAAAAGGGCTGAACAATGGCACTAGGCAAAAATTGGCAGTAACTAGACTGAGACTTTCTCTTACAAGTATTTCTAAAATGTATCAGGAAATGTAATTAGAGGAAAGTAAGATTCTCTAAGAATAAGGAGTATAAAATTGAAAAGCGGGGGCTGGAGGGATAGCACAGCAGGTAGGGTGCTTGCCTTGCATGTGGCTGACCCGGGTTCGATTCCCAGCATCCCATATGGTTCCCTGAGCACCACCAGGAGTAATTCCTGAGTGAAAAGCCAGGAGTAATACTTGTGCATTGCTGGATGTGACCCAAAAAGAAAAATAAAAGTGAAAAGTAAATTTTTAGATAATCTTTTCAAATTCCTTCAGTGCATTCCAGTAACAAGCTCACTGTTCCAGAAAACATGTAGTTATCTGTTTTCTTATTAGCTATTTTTAATAATTTTGAGAAATAACAAAATTATTAACTTTAAAGACTGGCCAATTAATACTATTTATATGTCTTCAAATGTCTAAGACAAACGGCATTTGAAGATCCTTAACAAACCACAATTTTCACACACATTACAGATGTATTTACCAGAGAATAAGCTATCTAAAGTTACCTAAAGACTACTAGAGAGCCAGCGATGGTACACAGTGGGGAGGGCACTCGCCTGGCATACAAATGACCTGGCTTGGTCCCCAGCACCACTTATAGTCCCTAGAGCCCTGCAAGAGTGAGCCCTGAGTGCAGAGTCAGGATAAAGCCCTGACCACTGCTAGGTATGACCCAAAAGCAAACAACAACAAAAAGATAAAGATATCAACTCATCAGGTGATGTATATTTCACTTAAGCTGCTTATCAAAGATTACACCATGAGAGTCATAGAACACAGGAAAGATGTAATGATTTACTCAGCACTGATATACTACACAGTGCCAACAGAAAGCAAGATACCTGATATTTGGCAAGAGGAGAAGGAAAATTCAAATAATTTCAGGGTTGTCACTATTAATATCAAATGATCATGATTCACAAAGAAATATTTTCAAACAGGAATAATCAGCAGGGAATACACTTAAAAGAAAAACATGGGACCAAGGAAAGGTGAACCCTTGGCAGTTATTATTAAAACGGATTTGTGTCTCACTGATAAAATATACCACCACTAGTGACTTACTTATTCCTCATTAGGCGTACTGGAATTGAGACAGTACTAAGGCACCATGAAGTGTGTAGGGCAAGGAATTAAGGTTCACATTAACTAGATAAATCATTCTAATCAAATGCTATAACTTACCTTTAAAACTTTTAAATTAGATTTCTCAAAGAGAGTATTCGATATGCCAGACACAGTAACAACAAAGTCTCCAATGGAGACGTTACTGGGCCCGCTCGAGCAAATAAAAAATCATAAATAAAAAGTATGCATTATATTAATACATAAAATCATTTTTTAAAAATTCCAAGAACTTTTAAATGCTTCAGAAATATTTTTTTTTTATTTAATGAAGAACTCAAGATAGGAAAACAGGTAGGGTGCTTGCCTTGCGCAAGGCTGGCCTGTTCTCCATCTCTGGCACTCGAAATGGTCCCCCAAGACCACCAGAAGTCAAGTCATCCCTGAGCACAGAACCAGGAGAAAGAAATGAGAATGGGTAGGTGTGGCATCAAACAAAGGAAAGAGATTTTACAGCATTCAGCCGAAGAGAAGGACAACATGGAGGGCGGGATCCACAGATCCCGAAGGAAAAAAAAAAAAAACAGGTTCCAAAAAGAGCCGAGATCATCGGGAAGTCCCAGATGGGGTAGGTACCGCATCCCGCCTCCCCCAGATGGAACCCCGGTGACCAGAAGCCTCTACAAGCACAGCTCGAGTATGCGGGAACTAGGACTTTTCCTCAAATCTGCTGGGACTACAACTCCCAGGTAACCTCAGATTCCGGAAGTCACGCCCACAGCCCGCCCCCCAGCGCCATATTTACAGCATTCAGCCGAAGAGAAGGACAACATGGAGGGCGAGATCCACAGATCCCGAAGGAAAAAAAAAAAAACAGGTTCCAAAAAGAGCCGAGATCATCGGGAAGTCCCAGATGGGGTAGGTACCGCATCCCGCCTCCCCCAGATGGAACCCCGGTGACCAGAAGCCTCTACAAGCACAGCTTGAGTATGCGGGAACTAGGACTTTTCCTCAAAACCGCGCGGCCACATAAGCGGCCACGCGACGTCTCTCTATATACAAAGTGATCCATGGGAAGTAAACCAGCCAACGTTTCTCTCTGAAAATCAGAGTTAAGTTTGGAGCACGGCCACAGCCCCAGAAACACAAGGACTTAATGCATAACCCAACAGCTTGGAGCAGAAAAGTGAACGGGCTATGCGTTAATCCAAGCCATCTTGTCTGACCGGAGGGGAAAGAGTGTTGCCCCATTCACCCTCTCCTCTCTGGAAAGAAAGATGGCGGCCACATGGGAGCCTTGTGGACAGCAGGCATGAGCCGGGGGAGTGGGGGCGACTAAAACCTCATGGGAAGGGGGGCGCTCCGGTCCGTCCTTCACACCCTACCGAGGTCACCAGTTGCCCCCCACGAGCGGCTCTCCAGCACGGCCACAGCCCCAGAAGCACAAGGACTTAATGTAGAACCCAGCAGCTTGGAGCAGAAAAGTGAAAGGACTATGCGTTAATCCAGGCCATCAAGTCTGCCAGAGGGGAAAGGGTGTTGCCCCATTTGCCCTCTCTTCTCTGGAAAGAAGGATGGCGGCCGCATGGGAGCCTTGTGGACAGCAGGTATGAGCCGGGGGAGTGGGGGCGACTAAAACCTCATGGGAAGGGGGGCGTTTCGGTCCGCCCTTCACGCCCTACCGAGGCCACCAGTTGCCCCCCACGAGCGGCTCTCCAGCACGGCCACGACTCCAGAGCACAGAAACCAATTTCTTAACTATCTGACTTTCAGTAGAAATACTTCCAGGGTCAATAAGTAAAATAGCAGAAATCCAAAACCAACATTTAATTCTTGAACCCAGCTGTAGAAAGCAAATCACTTCACAATGCTTTTTCAGCATGTCTGATTCGGGGGGGGGGGGGGGGGGGTAAACTCTAAATAATAGTGGTGAATCTTTTATTGAAACAATGAATCTAATCAAAGCAGATAGAGTGTTAACTAGAAATCATCTGCCCCACAGGGACTGGGAGGGGTGGGGGGGTGGGGTTTTATTGGGGTTCTTCATGGTAAAAAATAAGTATTGGTAAAGGGAAATGTGTTTGATATTTGCATGACTGAGACCTAAACCTGAAAGCTTTGTAACCTTTCCCACGGTGATTCAATAAATAAATAAATAAATTTTTAAAAAAAAGGAAAGAACAGAATGGTAAGCCTGAATAGTTTTTATTACATTTTTGAATATACATAAAAACAAAATGATTACACCTGAAATTTAAACTTTTCTGTACATACTTGACCCTCATAAAAAAAACTTGTTACACTGCAAATCAAAGACAGAGTTAGGGAAAACATAGATTTGGACAACATTTTAAAAAAATACTACATAATACAAATATTATATTGAAATGTCTTTATTAAGTAAGAATTTACACGTTTCTCATATTTAATTTTTGATTTCCACATTTACTCCAACCTGTCTACCCCCATTCCAACTCTATCTCCCTCATCTGCCTGGACCCACAGCCCTCTAGCTCTTCACTCTGCACCCTTCATCTGTGCCAGCACAGACGTTCCTCTTAAGCACGGGCTCTCCAGAGAGGCCTGCCCGTGCTGCCCATGGCCACAGCTGCCCACTCTGAGCCCATGTCCATGCCTGCCTACGCTGCCCATGCTGAGCCTACCTTTGGCCACCTCCTGCAACGGTTCCAAAGCCTCAAGTCATCTCACTAGCTCCCATGCACTTTAAATTCAGATTTAGTGACTTTAAAATGAGCTGAATATCTCACTGACCTAGGATACAGAGGTGTAAACTCAATGGACTCTGGTAACTATTGGAGAAAACATTTTTCTCATCAATACTACTGGGAATTCTGCTGCTAGGGTCAGCTATCCTCTGCCTTAGAAAATGAATGGCCAGTGAGTGTTTTTGATAGTAACTGGCAAACATGTTTAACTTTTTCAAAAGATGGTGCTATAGAAATATCCTTCCCTGTCTCCTGATCATATCCTAAATGTTAAAAAAAAATGTTCATTTATTTCAATACTGACCTAATTTTTTTTAACTGAGCATACCCTTGAATTTAGATGTGGTTTTACTTTTAAGTGTTAGAAATTGGTTTTTGCTTATTCAGAATACCAAAAAAATTTAAAAAATAGCATAATGGTTCATTTTTGATATAAAAAATAATTATCCTGAGTTCACCTGAGGAAAAAAAAACAAAATAAAATTCTTAATAAAAGTGACTAAGTGCTGGAGTATAGTATAATGGGTAGGACATTTGCCTTGCACTAGGCTGACCTGGGTTCAAATCGAGGCACCCCATATGGTCTCCCGAGCACCGCCAGGAGTGCAGTCAGGAGTAAACCCTAAAAATCAGCAGGTATCTCGCAAAAAGAAAAAAAAGAAATAAAAGTGACAACCTTAATATATGAGAATAAAATGTAAAACAACATACTCATCTATAAATATGATAGTAAAGCACAAATAAAATAATATACTCTATCCTACTGTCATGAATACTTCCAATAATGCTTATGGAAGAATTTCATACTTAGTAAGCCTTAGGTAAACACAGTAACACAGGTGGAGGAAATGTGTCATATCTATCTTTATGAAAGTTCACTGATGGAAGTAGAAAACAGCTTAGTAAATGGATATTATAACATAAAATGTACTAATAATGAAACAGCAATCAAGTAAGTAGCCTAAGTAAGGTCTTCATTTTTTTCTTTTTTTGGTTGAGAATTTCTGTTGTAAACATTTCTATTTTATTAGTATCTCACAAACCTAACCCACCACAAAAATAAAAATTCATCTTCTGTAACTATAAAATCAAAAACGTTCTCTATCTACGGCTCTTGGTCCTGGTGTTATTTCCAGTAACCATGGTTAAGTAGCTTCCCTGATCTCTTCGTCTTGAATAACTGTCAGTTCTGGAACATCATTCCTCCTCAGAATATCTGAATAGAGCAAGTAATTCTGTAGGCTTCTGGGAAGAGGCAACTGATTGACAAATATGTCAGACTGTAGATGCTTTGGTTTTAAACCAGACCAAATTTCCAAACGACAAAGGTGACTCAAGGATGGAACAGAGGCTGAAAAAATAAAACAAAAAAAAAATTAAAACTTTCTAAATAGTAAAATGCAACAGCATTTTAGGATAAAACCCACCCTTGTCCCCGGCCCCCATTTTGGTGTGTAAAAGAGAAGTGACTATGATGTGGAGACTTATTTTTGATCGGTGACTTGGGCCAGAATTATTACAGTTCACTTTATTTCTTTAGTCTTCCCACTTCCTTTTCTGGTTCCTTTTTCTCTGGTAGTTAGTCATGCATTTCAGAGTTCAGGACCACAAGTACCCAGGATCACATAAAACTAAACACTGAAATTCTAAAGATGCAGCAATAACAACTGGCACTTACAAAATGAAAGGACTTGGCTAACCTGAGTTCAACCCTAATCACCACACAAAGTTCCCTGAGCACAGTCAGGAGTGATCTCTGAGCAGAGATATCACACTGCCCTGAACACAGCTGAGTGAAGAAAGAAAGAAAGAAAGAAAGAAAGAAAGAAAGAAAGAAAGAAAGAAAGAAAGAAAGAAAGGAAGGAAGGAAGGAAGGGAGAGAAACAGGAAGGAAGGAAGGAAGGAAGGAAGGAAGGAAGGAAGGAAGGAAGGAGGTCAGGGATGTAACTCAGTGGTAATTCACTTGCCTTGAGCTGGGCTAGATCCCCAGCACCATAAAAAACAAACTGAACTAATTTAACAAACTAAAGAAACTCACAGCAAAAAATGCAATACCCCTATTACTCAGTTTCCCTGCAAATGCTTTCAGACAACATCAAGTAAGTAAACACAGTTTGCAAAGTTTTCCTTTTTTGTCTAAGATCTGTAGCACTATAGCACTGCTCTCCCATTGCTCATTAATTTGCTTGAGCAGGCACCAGTAACATATCCATTGTGAGACTTGTTACTGTTTTTGGCATATCCAATACACCACGGGGAGCTTTCCAGGCTCTGCCGTGCAGGCGGGATACTCTCAGTAGCTTGCCGGGCTCTCCAAGAGGGATGGAGGAATCGAACCCGGGTCAGTCGCATGCAAGGTGAACGCCCTACCCACTGTGCTATTGCTCCAGCCCTGCCTAAGATCATAGAATAAAATTTTTAAGATGGTATAAAGAATATGTAAAATTATTATTTAGTCAAAAAGACAGTATATGGGGTACTGCCTTGCTCATCATCCAGTCTAGATACTATCCCCTAAGCTTATGGCCCCCAGAGCACCACCAGGAATGATTCCTAAGCACAGCAGGGTATGGCCCCAAAACAAACAAAGTTATTAAGTACTACTTGTGAGATTCAGAAGAAAGCACAGGCAGCACGAAGGACTCAAGTGTTTGATGGCCAAGAGCCATTCCCCAGGCTAGCCCATGGAGACAGACGGACAAAGGACTGGGGGAACAGAGAAACAGGGACTGGGCTTGTTGGTATCACTGTATCACTGTACTCCCGTTGTTCATCGATTTGCTCGAGCGGGCCCAGTAACATCTCAATTTTGAGATTTTTCGTTACTGTGTCTGGCATATTGAATACGTCACGGGTAGCTTGCCAGGCTTTGCCGTGCGGGCGAGATACTCTCGGTAGCTTGCCAGGCTCTCCAAGAGGGGCGGAGGAATCAAACTGGCTAGGCTGGGCTAAATGCGCACAAGGCAAATGCCCTGGCTGTGCACAAAGCAAATGCCCTACCACTGTGCTATCGCTCTCTCCTTCCCAATGTAGTCCGATCTCTCCCCTTATAGCACAATCGTAGCTCCAGTCATCATAGTCCCATCATCCTAGTCTCCTCATAGACCTCAAAGTCCTCTACTCATTGTCTAGTCTAGTTCCTTTACAGCACAGTTATATAGAAATCATGAAGAGTAGGGTACACAAAATTAGGGTTGAACATTGTCATAACAACAGAGATAAAGCCACTCCTTCAGGGGAAGTTCTAGGAGATTGACTCAAGAAAATCTCATCTGAGGCTTCAGCACTCCAGATTACTAGGAGATCCGCTCAAGGGAAGGATTCCATCTCGGGTATATTGCTTTCTCCTTTCCTCAGTTAGTAATCCACTTAAACCATCAGAGTAAATTTACTTCTTCCATCCCTTTCGGAGAGCCCGGCAAGCTACCAAGAGTATCCTGCCTGCACAGCAAAACCTGGCAAGCTACCCATGACGTATTCGATATGCCTAAAAGAGTAACAAGTCTCACAATGCAGACGTTACTGGTGCCCGCTCGAGCAAATCAGTGAACAACGGGAGGAAGTGCTACAGTGCTAATATTTCTAACCACTTTGGATAAGACACAGTAAGAGATATATTAAGCTTAAAGGTTGGCTCTTCCTGGGGACATCTCACTATATATTCCAGACCACAGTCCTCAAGCCAGTTAGTCTTTCCTAACCCCAGCAGGGTCCTTATTCAGTTACTTCTCTTTGGGTCATGACAGTTTTTCCCATGCCCATGCTCTTAACTTATTATACTTGTGGTATTTAACTTGTCCCCTCTGGATGCCAGAGTAGCCCAGAGCTTGCCCTGGGTCCATCCAGTCCTTCATCAAGACCCTGCTTTTGGAATGCTAGGAACTAAGAGGAACTGAGGCTTAAGTCAAGTAAATATGGATGCCCAGGAGTAAATATTATTTTGGAGTCAACTAACTCCCATGTTACAAAGCATAGCATGAACTGTCTTCCTGTGTCTATACAAAAGGGACATTGCTAAATAAACCATGCAAATGACATGAAGGAAAGAGAAAAGCAATATAGGATTATTAGTGCTTGATTGAACTGGGTATGCCTGAGGGACACTGTTGTGGGAGTAGCTCAATAAACCTAAGCTTCTTGCGGAGGAGCAAAAACAAGCCAATGTTATTCAACACTATGTCATATGCTTCACAAAAAGTCTTCTCTTATCTCTTTTTATCCCTGAGAGATATATATTATGCTGATACAGAGATTTAAACCTTTAGAAAGGGGTTTGTGTTGCAAAGATGGCTTAAAGGGCTGGGGTACACGCTTTGCCTGTGGACACCCCAGGTCTGATTCCTGGCACTGCATGCCCCCCTCGTACTATCAAGAGGGTTTCTGACACCCCCCAAAAGATACTTAAGGGACTTTCTGAAGTTCCCATTTTATTTTATTTTTATTATTTGTCTTTTTGGGTCATACCCAGCGATGCTCAGGGGTTACTTCTGGCTCTGCACTCAGGAATTACTCCTGGCAATGCATCCCAATAGGACCATATGGGATGCTGGGGATGGAACCCAGGTCATCCATGTGCAAGGCAAAAGCCCTACCCGCTGTACTATATCTCCGGCTCAAGTCACAATTTTAGACAAGTGCTTGAGGAGGGATTAAAACTAAGTGCATCTGCCAAGAATAGCCGAGATCAGTACCAGGAGGATTACTCCATGGCTTAGAGATCAGCCGGGCATTCTAGGGGAAAGGGCAGCTCAGATAGAGAAGGGAGCACCAAATAAAGGGTGTTTGGAGGATCCTCCCAGGAGGGGAGATGCAGGTTGAAAGTAGACTATGGATTGAACATGACTGCCACTCAATGCCTCTTTTTCAGACCACAACACCCAAAAGGAGAGAGAGAACAAAAGGGAATGCCCTGCCACAGAGGCAGGGTGGGATGGGGGGGATGGCTGTGGGAGGGATACTGGGATCCATGGTGGTGGAAAAGGGGCACTGGTGGAGGAATGGGTACTTGATCATTGTATAATCGAAACCCAAGCACAAAAATTTGTAAATCTACAACTGTACCTCATGGTGTTTCACTAATAAAAATTTTTTAAAAATTAAAAAAAAACTAAGTGCATCTGCCCAAAGCATGTAAGTGTGCAAAAACACACACTAAAACCCACTATCATCAAAAGCAAAATATCAATTATAGAGGAATCTTATGTACTCAAGAATCAAGATAGTTTTATTTTTCAAGATGAAAAATACTAAATATAAAGTGGCATTAGTGTCCGTAAAACTGAGCATACTAAGAACAGCACTTTTTTTTTCTTTTTTTTTTCTTTTTTTTTTTCCCCTTTATTGTATTTTATTTTTTTTTAAAGTTGTAGATTTACAATTTTTTGTGCTTTGGTTTCAATTATACAATGATCAGATACCCATCCCTCCACCAGTGCCCATTTTCCACCACCATGGATAATATCCCTCCCACCCCCATCCCCCCATCCCCCCTGTCTCTGTGACAGGGCAATCCCCTGTGTTCTCTTTCTCCTTTTGGGTGTTGTGGTCTGCAAAAGAGGCATTGAGTGGCAAACATGAAGAACAGCACTTTTATGTGAATAAAAGCTAATGCCTTCTGCTAGTCCAAAAGAAACTTCCTAAGTCACCATGGAATGCAAGAGTCAGGATGAGACCAAGACAGTCCTATTGCAGGCCAGCTAGCAGCAGCCCACTATACTGCAACACCTGAGAGACAAATTCTCTAATATCTCTAACCTCTTTCAAACCACTGCAGTTCCATTTCAGTTTAAGCATACTGGTTGAAGTTTATTCAGAAATTGGGAAACTCATCAAACCACGAAGCTCTGTTTCAAAATACCAAATAAGAAAAGTGAGCATTACACAATTTTTGTACATAAAAAGCCTAAGATGAGGGGCTGGAGTGATAGTACAATAGGTAGGGTGTTTATCTTGCACAAGGCCATCCTGGATTCACTCTTTGGCACCCCAAGTCTCACCAGGAGTAATCCCATAGCACAGAGCCAGGCATAAATCCAGAGCACTGTTGGGTACAGCCCAAAAAACAGAAAAAGAACTAAGAATAAACCTCTGCAATACATGGCACATTACCAAAGCTTTCCTACCCATATCTTAAACATTCCCTTTAAGATATGGGTAGGAAAGCTCTTGATCATTGTATAATCGAAACCCAAGCACAAAGATTTGTAAATCTACAACTGTACCTCATGGTGTTTCACTAATAAAAATTTTTTAAAAATTTAAAAAAAAACTGTAAATTTAAAGAAATAATCATTCTCTTGATTGATAAGTACAGATAAAGACAGCAAGAGGGGAATATCAAGAATACACATG